GAATCCCAAAGACGCCGTCATCTGTGAGGCGCACTCGTCCACGTGCCATAAATCCCGAAAGCCGAAACCCAGATCTAGAAAGTAGATCCCCTAATTTGGGGCCCTATACTACTAAGGGTACTTTAAGGGAACCCCCATTAAGGGATCTACTTTTTGGATCCTCCCGGGGGTCTGGGTGCTGTTTATGAGTACAAGTTTAGGGTTTGGGTATACTTAAAGGATCATGGGACTTAGTAACTAGGGTTATTCCTAAGGTAACTGTACTTCTAACTACTTATATCCCCAATTAGGGTACTTATAACCTTACTTACTAAGTTCCATGATCCTCCAAGTAGGGTTTAGCGGTTTCGATAGTCGGGGGCTTGGATTAAGATCGTTCAGGATATGTTTTCCTTCGCGTTTCCAGATGTTCGAGTTTAGACTTGGGGTGTTGGGTTCTTTGGGGACTTGATTTGCTTGTGAATCATGGTGATTCCGGGCTTTCTTGGCGAATTTCGTCCAGCGTTGTTGGGTCACCACTGTCATCGCCATCACCCTCAGCCTCTTGAGCCCCATGTTCACCATAATCAGCCTAAAGCAATCATCATCGTCATCATCTTCATCACCGTCATGTGCACAAATCTAGAAGTGTACCAGGTTTTTGCAAGCAAGGGAGGCGGAAGCGGCCAGGGAGCCAGCAACGAAAAGGGCCAGGGAGCAAGCAAGGGAGGCGGAAGCGGCCCGGAAAACAACGGCAGACGGAGGAGGACGCATCTGCGAAAGCAGCCTGTCAGCTGATCCTTCGGCACGAAAGGGCGCTGCAGAAGGCTCTGCCCGAAGCCCGGAATGAGCAGGATTCGTCTTCGACGTCGAGCTCATCGAAGAACAGAGAGAAGATCTGCTGGGACATGGATCTCGCTGTGAACTGATTACCAGAGCTGGTGCCAAGCCTTACGCAGATGAAGTATCTTTCCGTCAGCCCTTTGCATTGGAGCTTCCCGAGCCCACTGCAGACAGGTTTCCAAGTGTTGATAATCCCTTCCCCCTAATATTAAACGCCTCCGAAACCCCCCTAATATAAAAACTGGATTCCGGAGGTTTAGTTTTTATATTAGGGGGGTTTCGGGTCCTGCGGGTATGAGTCGGAGTGACAGCAACTAATTAATTAGAAATGAGGCAGCCAGACAGTCAGACAGCTAGAGCCCGAAAGCTCTAAGCCATAAACCTCGAGCCCTGAGCCCTAAAGCTTTAGCCCTGAGCCCTAAACCCTTAAACCCTAAAGCTCTCGTGTCTCTTTAATTAGTACTGCTGTAATTAATCTTTGCCTCTATAATTAAAGCCCTGAGCCCTAAACCCTTAAACCCTAAAGCTCTGGTGTCTTTAGTACTACGGTAGTCTTCCTTCAATTAAAACACATACAGATCTGCCACCCCCCCTAATGTTGCCCCCTTTAAATTGAATGTGGGGCCCGAACCCGCGAAATTCCGGGGGCCGGCAGTTTTTATATTAGGGGGGGGTTTAATGTTAGGGGGAAGGGATTAGTCCCAAAGTTCGTTCAGCTTGCGCGGAGCTTTCGACGAGTGCTGAGTGTAGAGTCGAGCGTGGTCTGGTGTAGAAGTCGCCGGCTTTGCCAAAGCACGAAGAAACATTGTTGTCGTTGTTATTACTAGCCTTGCTTTTTATAATTGCAGACTGTGGGCGAGGCGCAGGAACCAACGGAAAGGGCTAAACCCTAAACCCTAAACCCAAGCAAGGGAGGCGGAAGCGGCCGGGGAGCCAACCACATCGTGGGTTCTCTACGACGAGCGCAGAAGAAGTTCGTCATCATCTTCATTGATTTTCCTGACCAGATCCTTATCCTAAGGCCCCAAAGTAGTTCCTTTGTGGGGTTCATATTTACAATCCTATTAGGTCATCCCAAAAAGGAACTACTTTGGGGCCTTTGGGTATCCGTCACTTCATCATCATGCCATTGTTGATCTCGGTTGGAAGGAGTCTTGTGTCTTGTTTCAAAAGTTTTTTAGATGGTCGCCTTTTGCAGCCGTTGGCGCGCCAGGTGTGGTAGCAAATCTCCAGCATTTGAACAGTAAACGCCTCAAGCTCCAAACCCTGGACACATCAAACCCCCGTCTCGGCGCCGGTCTGTGAAGCCTAATCATGCTGCAGGAATCAGTGGCAACAAAGTTCCTGTGTAGTCCTAGATCAAGCAAAGTTTTAAAGTATCCCAGAGATCCAAGTTGTGGAGATGAGCTCGATTCGGCATCTTGAGCTACCCATCTTGTAATCCGAGTGTCTCCGCTGTGGATTTGGGAACACAGTGCAAGGCATGCGAAACCAGAAGGAGCGCGCCACTGCCCACACCTCCGGCGGTGGAAGAGCGACTTCGTCCGAGCTATATTATTCCCACCATACCACCGAAAGTCCAAAAATCCGTCAACCTGCGATGACTTTGCACCTCCAGTTCCAAGCCCTGATCATAGTTCAAGTTACGTGTGCAGTGCCATGTGTCTCATAGTTACCATGTGAAACCGGTCCCTTCATTCAGGTCGCAAAGACATTTGAAGTAGGACCCTGGGGTTTCTCTGTGGCGTTATATAGGGACCATCTGTGGGATGTTCTTCCTGCTTCCGCCGACCTGTGTGCTGATATGAGGTCCGATCTAAGGGGTTGTTCTAGGTATGACGTTCTCCAAAGACTCTTGCGATTCTGCAGGTTTCCACGGACGGGATGTGCAGTTTCTATCCGCCAAATTCTTATCGAATCGGTATGGCTTTTGCAGATGAGCCCATATGTACGGAAACGACAGACCAGGCTTCTCAGATCTCTTCCTGTTTCGTCCGTGTACTTTTCGAGAAGGTTCTCTAACGCTGCAGACTTGCAATCGAGAACATGTTCATAGCCCCTAAACGCAGAACCTGCAACCCCAAACCCAGCCCCAAGCCGTGAACCCGATGCCCTAAGCAAATGCCCTTAACAGTAAATGTTGGGCAAAATCAAGAAGAAACACCAATTGTCTAAGCTAAGTTCCTAAACTCGAAACCCACCAACCCAAATTGATTGATCTTCGAGTCTCATATCGATCCGAGGAAACCCTAAAACCTAAAACATGGCATACGCAAAATGGGAAAAAAGAGCGCCCTCCCAAAAAAAAGAAACCATGGCCTCAACCCTCGAGGGAATTTGGGAGTCTTTCGGACCGATCCAAGGAAGCTAAAGCCTCCGACATCCTCAGAAGTGACGGCAGCTCTGTTCAAAACAGGGCTTTGGGTCAAAAGTCCCCCAAAGTGGGTTATAGGCTACCCTACTTGCAACCCTACTGACACCTCCCCTAGACCTGCTCTATTCAGGGATCCGGGTTCCATAAGTGATCTATAGGGTTTAGGGATTACTCTTAGTAGCTGAGTGGATACAGTTTACATTTTTTTGGATAATACTACCCACTATAAAACTAAAAGTGTACATTTCTTGGGTCTTATGAACTCAGCAACTAAGTACTTGGTTCCTGAGTAGTATCCTTTTGCCCTTTTTTCGGGCTTCAGGAGCTTCGTCAGTTTTGGCAAAGGAATGGCCGGGGTCTTCGAATGGGCTCGAAAAGTTTAGGGTTTAGGGTGTAGGGTTTAGGGTTCGAGTATCTTTCTGGATATTTGCGGGTTTGCCGGAATTCAGGGTCTTTCTTGGCGGCTCGGTGTGATCAGGATCCTTCCACGTAGTGTTTCAATTGCTTTTGGACACTTCCGCCGCTGCCGTCTGAACTGCCCCCAGTCGCCAATGCAAGGCTTACAAAGCTCCACATCGTAATTCCTTTAATTCAGTCGGCTATACAAGCCATACAAGCTGTAGAATATTATGCTTCGAAACCCAATTCTCATCATCGCTGCCTTTGCCCCCTATTATAAGCCCTACCTTAATACCTGACTCTGTAACCCTGAACCCCAGGCACTGAATCTCCGCCCCAACCCTGATATCTTCAAGGGTCGGTAGGGTTCAAGGTCTCGTTTTGTCAGAGGTTTGGGGACAAGCAGCAGTGATTCTTGTGTTTTTCTGCTCTTCGAAAGGATTTGTGCTTTGCCATTCAGTCTATGCAAGCTGGTGTCGTTTCAGTCGTGACCATCCTCCGTTACAACCGATTTCGGGGGAATCGTGGCGAGGTAGACCACCCGACAATTTCCACACCGTCGCCTACACCTCCAAGTGGTCCGGAGCGCCTAGCTTGCCTTAAGGCTGTTAATCTTCAGCTCCCCTAGGCGCCCAAACTAGATGAAACACAGCGCCCGACCCCGGGCTGGGGAGGGGTACTGGGATCGCTGGAGCTCCATCTTATCCCTAGGCCCGACATCTGTCGAGCACCTGGAAATTTGACGAGCCCTGTTGTTTTTGGTTTGGGGAGTTATGGGGTTGAAGGTTTAGGGTTTGGGGGTGCGGGATGGTTGGTCATCCGTGAATAAAGAGCCTGCTGAAGCACCACATTCTAGACCCAAGACGCTGCAGTAATGAAGCTCTGAACCTTCTATAGGCCTTACACCTTAAATCCGAATATCAAGAAGACCCTAAATCCTTTTTGAGTCCTAAACTTAAAATCGTATACTCAGCAAACCCTCAACCCTAGAAGCTCCCAACTCCTATAATCAAGTCATGCCTGAGGCAGAGAAATAACCCTTTTTCAAACACCGGGGCCCCAAACTTCATAGTCTACCCCCTACCCCCTAAACCCTAAACCCTAGCCTGAGGCAAACGGCCAGGAAGAACACAAGCCAGGCTCCTGAGGCATCTCCGTCCTGCAAGGCCCCGGGGGTTTGAAACTTCAGCTTCCGGGCGGGTGAGGTTGAGGGTTTCGCGTTCACTTACACCAAAATACCAAAATTAGTTGCATGGTTCAACAACTATATATATATATATATATATATACATTCCATTTCCGTGCTATCAGAGGTCGTCGCTGCGAACTAATTAAGACTGCAAAGAGGCCCTCAGCGCTCTAAACGGCGCCGATAGTCGGCTGGACCAAAAGGATTCAGGGGCGCTTACGACCGCGGTTCCTGCTTCAAGGACTTGGGTCCACGCCTTCCTGACCTGGCTCGGGACTAACAGGATTGGCCGGACTAGCGCGGCTGAAGTTTCCCAGGTACAGCTCAAAGCAGGATCTTCAGCTTCCCACCCTGCATCGAGCGTCACATGCACCTGTTCGAGGGTCCCGCACCGTCGTTGACAATCTTGGACTAATGCTGTCCAATCGAATGCGTCCGCATGACGGTCAAATTCTCTGAAAGTTTCGAGCCCGTGGTCTGGGACTGAATGTAGCCTCGGGGTGAAATGGAGGAGGGTGTCTCGATCGCGAAGAACCACCTCGATAGTGTGGTAGTCCCCGCGGAACAGTTCGTCAGCCTGGAGCATCGCGATCTCCTTGGCGGTGTGCTCAACGATCAGCTCCTCCTCTTCACGGTAAAGGGGGTGCTGTGCGAGCACCGCTCGGATCTCATCACGTAACTGTCGGGCAGTCCGTCCCTGATCGCCCTCCGAGAGGGCCTCGCAAAGCCTCTTGTAGGCCTTGAGGGGTGTCTCATCCCATGGTAGTTCACGGTCGGCCAGGTAGACGGGGTCCGCAATCTCACCATCGTAAGAGACCGGTTGCCAAGTGAACTGAGTCGCTGATGTCTTTCGCCATTGACTGCTTCCACGCCCTGGCAGCGGGGTCGAGGTAGTACGCCCAAGACGGATCAGATAATCGACACAGTTCGGCGAGCTAGCCAAGTGGGCCTGGAGCCGGGCCTGCGATCTGTACTGTCCACCACAGGCAACGCAGTCCGTTCCGACGACACATTGCCGATGTCGGGCAACACGGCCATGTGTCTTGAAGAAGTGAACCGACAGGTTGGCTTTCTTCTTGAACCCACATTGACAATGGCGGCAAGTCCACCGGTCTTCCTGTCGCCCATGGGTAGTACCTGGAAGGGTGGCCTGTCGGGACAGACTCCAGAGGGCGAGACTCTGGATTTCGATGCCCATCATCTTCTCGTGCTGCCGTCGCAGCATTTTCTTGACCCCCAGCTTGAAGCGAGAAGGGCTCTCGCGGATCTGGTGCCACCATTGCGGCCAGCTCACCTCCTGGATTGGCGGCCAGTGTGGCTGGTCAGCCCGAAGCTGGCATAGATCATCTCGGACCGTGTAAAGCCACTCTCGCTCTGTCTGTAGCACACCGCAGAGGACCTCAGGGCCTGCAATGATCAGCGAGACCAGGAGACTTAAGCGTGCCTTTCTGGCATGTAGCTCCAGACGCCAGCATCCTGTAGCCTTGTAGATCAGGGTGGAGGGCACGTGGAAAAGCCTGTCGTCCGGGACATGGGGAACGAGGAGGTTGCGCACAATCCTTGTGTACCCCAGGGCTAGCCTTGTCCAGGCCTCCCCGCGAGGCACCCACTGCGACAGATTGAAAATGCTGGGTAAAACCGAGACCTCGAAGAGCTTGGCTCTCGTGGAGAGCGGGAGCATCTTGTTCTGGTACACCAGGCGTCGTCCACTGTCGTAGGAGCTTTGGGCTAAAGCCAAGCGGCGTCTGGATTCCGCCTTGCCATTCGCGTTCATGTCCAATACCCCGCCCAGGTGGGTGTACTGGGCCTCGACAGGGACCGCAAGCTGGAGGTCAGGGAGTGCAAGAGAACGGCCATTCTCGGCAAAGAAATGTCGTCTGGTCGCCTGGGAGCCTTTGCCGCGAAGAGAGAGCACCAGTGCCGTCTTCCCCGGGGCCAAGTTGGGGTCCATCCCGAAGGACTGGCATTTTGAAATGACCACAGCACTGATTCTCTGAGCCTTTCTGACCAATCGCCATGGACAGTCGTCCTCAAAAGGGAAGGAGCTGTCATCTGCCCACGTGGCGTCCCTGATCAAGTGGGGGGTACCCTCATCGTTGCCACCGAAGGCTCCCACAGCAGAGTCGTACTTGGCGTACGACAGCACCCCTTCACCATCAAGGATTTCGGTGATTTGGCCCAAGACTCTTGCGTACACAAAGGAGAAGATAGCGTCGGCGAATGACTCGCCAGGACGGCTTCCAGCGTGGGAGGAGGCGAGGGCCTCTCCAGTGGAGTAGGCACTGATGGCCCACGTCCGATGATGGAGGTCTCGTACAGCTGCCGTGGTCATCGAAGAACCCCCGGCTTCAGTCATTAAGCCCCCAGCTCGGATCAGATGGTGGAGGTCGTGGATATCCTCCCCGTCTAAGTCGAAATGCTTGAAGACCCGGGCCACCGAGTTGTCATCGCAGATGGGCCCCATGGCCACCTCTCGGGCAACTCTGTAGTAAGCAGCCCTGCTGTGTAGGAACAGCGCTCCAATGGAGCGTTTCCCTCGGACTCCAGCTCGAAACAGACTCAGCAAGTAGAGCGAGGCGAACTGGATGGGGGCCTGCCGCTTACTCCCCAAATGTAGTCCGTGCAGGGTGTCCTGAAGGCAAGGCCCTTGCCCTTGTAGGCAGCATACAATATTCCTCCTCGCCATTGGATGGGTTGTTGGACCGTGAGAATACTCTTGGCGATCAGAGGGTACATTGCGCGGCCCAGGGCACTGGGGGCCGCCCTGAGGGCTTCTCCGGGAATTCCGTCAAGCCCTTCGGGGCCATTCTCAGTAGCTGCTCCAGTTGGACCAGGGTAGGCATGTTTGCGAGAGACCATTCTATCTCCTCAACCCCGGCACATTTGGCAGTCTCAGCGCTGAGAAAGTCCGTGACACTGAGAACAGTACCGATCTCCTGCGCACTGAAGTGTCGTAGCCAGAGGTCATCTCGGTCAGCACGACATGTGATAGCCTCGCCGGTAACGTCCAGCAGGATGGGGAGGGGGCGCGAGTGGGTCCTGGCTTTTCGACCGCCTACCCCATGCAATTTCATTTTGCGAAGGAGGTCGGTTGTGCTGCGAACCCCATCTGCAATCAAGTCTTTGAGGAAGCCGTCCTTGGCCTGGTAGATTCCCCGTTTGATCTTGGCGGTCACATATCCGATCGCAGTGGCGGAGAGCTCGTAGAAAACTCCCTGCGTGGCGATTTCCTCCTCGAGATTGCCCTGAGCTCCGGTAGCCCACATCCGAAACGCCCGTCCAAGTAGGTTCTTCCAGAGGCCACGTCTATGGGCAGTTCGTTTCTTGAGACGGATCTTCGTATCTCGCCATTGCCAGACATGGTCTGGTATGTAGGTCGCCCGCCTTCCGTGCACTGGGGCTGGAAAGAGGGCGGTGAGGACAGCCAGGATGTAGTCCTGGAAGTGTTGGCAATGGGTGTCCACATGGGTGTTCCAGGTTGGCGGGACATATGCCCGCATTGCCTGTGCAAAGAGAACCTTGCCGGCAGGTGTCTGTAGCTTCTGACGGTCAAACCGCGGCCGTCGTAGTTGAGGGAGGTCATTGGCACGAGCGAAAGTGCCTTCAATGGCCACACATGCGGGGCGATGGTCCTCCTGCTTATTGCCCGTGTCAATCTCCCCGTCTGACCAGCTGCACACTCGAGTAGTCCGAAGAGTGCCTCCCAGGATGCAGTAGTCGATGCGGGACTCGGTTCCGCATGGGTGGACATACGTGGTCGTAGGTCCCACGTGGAGCTCCTCGTACGTCGCCGGGATCCAGGCCCCGATTTCAGAGAGAAGTCCTCCAAGCTGTTGACCCGCTGCGTCGGGGTCGCCATGTTGGAGGTTGCCAGTGACATCTGGTAGGTTCGGAGGCAGCTTGCCGTTCAAGTCCAACCCTCCGAGCAGCAGGGCCGCTGGACCGACTTCTCGGAGCCGCGAGGCAAGTTCGTCGAGGAATCTTTCCCTCTCCGTGGGTCGCCCACTATGGGGGCAGTGACCAGCGAACAGGATGAAGCGGCGTTGCAATTTTCGGACCACAATAAGCAGCAATCTCGGGGAGTGGCAGACAATCTGGATGTCCTCCTCAGCAGCGATGAGCGGGGCCCCATCGATCGTGCAGAAACCGCGGACAGCATTGAGCCAAATACCAACCCCCCAATGTGAATCGGAGGCTGTCTGGATTCTCATATAGTCCGCCGTCTTGCATACGCCCTCGGAGTCCTTGGTCTCCTGCAGGAATATGATCTGATGGTGGTGCTCCTGGAACTGATCAGACAGGTAGCGATGTTTGCCCCCAAGTCCTTGCACGTTGACCGTTGCGACCCTGGTCGAGAAGAAAGACGGCCCATCTGGTTGTCCAACCCGGCCAGAGTGTGTCTGGATGAGGTCCTGGGGCTGCAAAGGACTGGGACCAGATGGTATGGTTGGGTCCCACACCAGATTGTGGCCAACGATGGGTAGTGCTTGGTGCCTGCATCCGTGTAGAATCGCCGCCATCCAACTCAGGTCCATGCTCATGAAGAGACTAGGTACATCAGGCGGTGGGTATGGGAGGTCGGTGTGCTGGGCAGCCGCCGCTTTGGCAACCGAGTCCGCTAGCTCGTTCCAAGCATGGGAGCAGTGGGCCTGTACATACTCAAACTGAAGGCCGTGTTGGGTTACCTCCTGTAGGTACATTTCCAGGTTGCGGCTTTTCACCGCCAGCTCATTGCAGCAGGCAAATGTGCCATCCGTGGCCCATCCCGCAGCTTGGCAGTCGAAGTGGATGGTGAAGCCGCTGGGTCGAAGGAAGTGGAGGCTCTGCCCAGCCCATAATAGGGCAATCGCGATAGCCACCTGCTCTGCGTGGAGGGCGGGGGCGTGGGAATCGCCCCACACCTGAGTGTCAGAGCCCAAGATGGGCTCCCCAACAATGCCGTACAGGGCCAACATGGTGCCGAGCTCAAGGAGGATCACAATGCCGGCCCCGCTCGTTCGAGATGAAGCCTTGTAAGATCCATCCGTGTAGATGTGTACTCGGGGGCGGGACGGCTGTCGCACGAGTTGGCTCCAGTGAAGCAATGTATCGAGGGCCTCGGCAGTGGCTGACTGGAGTGAGAGGGTCTTCACATCGAAAGCCATCCAATCGGGCGGCCAGACTCCGAGGAGAGCCCGAGTCTGCTGCTCGTTTTCTGGCAGTGGCAGGGCCTCACGAGTGAGGTCGAAGCTTGGAGGTGGTACTGCTTCAGCAATGTGAACCGTTCTTCTCCTTGGGGACCGGCTTCGGTCGTTGACCGGCGTGGGCCGTGGTGGCCCGAATGGCCCGGGTCCCGTGGGCGGTGTGCCCTCCGAAAGGTCTGAGGAGTTCGGGAGGGCATCTCTCGGGCTGCTGCTGTCATCGCCCTCGTCCTGGTCCTCATCGTCCTCGTTTTGGTCGCTGTCGTCTCCCGCCGTAGGTGTCGCTGTGAGCTCGCCCGTTTCCTTGAGGAAGAAGTTGAGGGTCTCACAATGGTTGACCTTGAGGAGTTCGGGGTTGTTGGTGAGCTCACCTCCCTCGACAACAACAGTCCACCCATCAACAATCGGGGCCTGGATGCCCTCTAGGTACTCTGCGGAGTTAAAGAGCTGTCGTGGGAGCAACAACCACTGAGGGAAAAGCCCAAGGCCACGAAGGTCGACGAAGATGACTGTAGCGTCCGGGTCGTCCTCATGGGTGGATCGCGGGCCTGGCATGACCGCGATCTGTTTCTGAACCCGTCGCCCTGCATGGGTCAGGTCCTCTGCTGGATGGGTTGGCTCGCAGATCCAGCATTGTCCTGACGCATACCCCAGCAGGCTCTCGGCAAGCTCCAATCTGTTTTCCTCCGCACCCGGTATGTCGTAGTAGACGAGCTCGTGTGGTGCATCGTTGGTGCCCGGGGGGTTCAGCATAGGGTTCCAATGCGAGGGGTCCTCCAGTCGTTCACTGAGATGGCCTTCCCAGACGCAATGGCTTCCCTCATAGAAAGCCTTGATGACTCCTCCTTGCACTGTTTGGTACTCGCCTTCACCAGCCATGGGCACTGCATTGCCAAAGAGGTAAAGGTCGACTGGGTCAGCCTCGTCCGGCAGCTGTTTGGTGAGGGCCCGCTTGGTGAGCGGGCCGTCGAGGATGAAAGGGAAGATCTCTCCCCCAATACCCCGGCTGTCCATCACCAGTGCTGTTTTGCCTGCTCCAGGAAGCCAGGAAGGCACAGCAAGGCAGCTTCCATAGTGCGAGCCGATCTGCGGTACCGTAGGGAGGATCGTCTCGAAGTAGTCGGGCATGTTGACACAAGTTCCCTTGACTGCATCACAGAGCCGTTGTTCGCTCAGTGGGAAGGCAATCCCAAGGTCAACGACCTCCGTGGCAAAGTAGGGAGCTGCCACCCAGACAGTGACATGTACGGCACGCCGCTCGTCCCAGGCAGGGGTGGTGTGGTCACCTGGTTCGGCAACAGCAGCGACAGTGATATTGGGCGGTGCAATCTCTCCTTCAGAGTGGGCCAGGGGTAATCCAGCAACATAGGCATCATAGGCATTGAGCATCTGTTCACGTGCTGTGAGTTGCCCTGAAGCCCATAGCTCGAGGTCGGTTTGCCTTGGTATCGCTGGGAAGCCCAGGCTGTTGTGGCCACCGTTCCTGGGAGGTCGCGGCGTTCCATCGTCTGTGGTTGCTGCCATAGAGGGCGAAAGCAAACCAAATATCAGGAGGACACGTGCCGCCATAAGAAAAGGGTTCCTGGTGGGGCGGTGCGGGCCGCCAGAGCAACCACAAGGTCGCACCTTAAGCATTGAAAGTAATGCTCCGAACTGGATCAGGATGAGGGAGCAGCAGAAACCCAAACCGCTGGCTCTCCATTCCTCTCCGAACTGTATCAGGCCAACACCCAAGTAGTCGATAGCGTCGGCGAAGAGGTCAAGGATATCGTAGGTGATCCTGCTCCTTGTATCTCCAGGGTCGTGGCCTCCCGTAGGGCCGTGCCCGAACAAAGGATACTCCAACCCAGCGGTCTCGTGAATCCCACGAACACCGTCAGGATGTAGCACCGTGGTGTCGCCTTCCCTGCGCCCGGACAGACCGAAAAAGCCGTAGCGAAGGGAGGAAGGCTGGCCCTTTCCAGGGCAAAATTGTTCATATGGATTGGGGGCTTCCATAGCCCCTGTGTGGCTTGCAGGCAGGAGGTCACTCATCACGAGATACCTCCTACCAGCTGTGATCACTCCACCGCATCGAGTGTGTTCACCACCGTCAGGTCGGCTATCGGGATCTCCTCGTCGGATTCCGCGATCGCTCCCGCATCGACAATCCCCCTGCGGGCTTCCAACTTTTCCGCCAAAGAGGCTCCCGACTTGGGGCGCGATGGCGTTCTGCCAACCTGTTTGACAGGTATGCGGGCAGAAGATCTCGACTTGATTCTGGCTGTTCCATCAGGCAAGGGCCTCGTCGTCATAGTCGAGGGTGAAGCTGGAAATGGTGCCGGCTTGGCCGCATCTTCCGCATTGCCGCTGTAGGTGTCCTCCGTACCGGTTTGGTGCCGGGTGGTCGGTGGGTTCGGCTTGTCGCCTGGTGGAGTAGTCGGACTCGGGGATCGGCGCCTGCGAGCTGGTGGTGTCTTCTGGCGGCGGGCTGCCTTGTGCTCCGTTATGGCCTCCAGCAGCATTTGACGTCGCTCGGCCTTGTCCATGCGTCCTCCAGCAAAGGCACCCGTGAGCAAGTCGGCGATGCCTTGGTTCGGCCGCTTTTCTGGCGACTGAAGGAGCTCTTCGAATTCTGCCAGCGCCGCCGGGTCCTCGGGGATTGTGGCCTTGCTCCGGGGCAGGGCCTGGGGCTCGAGGAGGGCCATCTGAAGTTCGCCAAGAGCATCTTCTTGCGCCTGTTCGGCCTCCATAAGCTCCTGGGTGATCTTGTCGATGCGGTCCTGGTATCGCTTCTTCTCTTTGAGGAAGCTTTGCTGAAGCTCCTCGCGCCATGCTGCCCATTTCTTCTGGGTCTCCACCTTGTCCTCGGCCAAGCGGCGGGCCTTGCCGTCCGCCTTCCTCAGACTGTTGAGTACTTTTTGGACTCCACGGGCAACCTGGCCGTTGGAAGGTGCCTCGTCGTCGATCTCCATGGAGTCCTTGGGTTTGGTAGTCGATCTTGTGCTGCTGCTCCCCGCCTCCATAGTCTCGAAGGAAGGGAAGGTGTTCTGCCGTCGGTCTCGGTGGGTGTCGGCTCCCTTGCGGGGGTTGTCTCCTTTGCCCTCTTTGGCCTTGCCCTTCTGTCGATGCCATCCACCAGATGGCTGACCATGCGAGGAGCGCCATGCATCCCATTCTTCGGCTGACCATTGACCTCGCTTGCCCATTGAACAGGTCCAGAGAGCCGGAACTTCGCGGTAAGCAGGCCTGCTGTGGTGCAGGCAGAGTCTCAGGAGATCCGCCCTTGTGGGGGCAGTGCCTTGTTTCCGGGCCGAAGTGATCCGGCTGCGGGCTCTTGCACGTTGCAAGCGGAGGCGGCGGTGCCAGGAGGGAGATCCGATCCCTCGTGCCGTGGAGCTATGGCTCGCTGCGTGCCGAAGCACTGGGGTAACAGCAATGCTCACTACAGAGCTCGATCCGAAACCCTATATATATATATATATATATATACACATACATACATTCAGGGTTCCAAGTGGGGGAGTTAGGGATTAGGTTGTAGGGTTTATTGATTAGGGTTTGGTGTGTGGCGCTTTAGGATTGAGGGAGCGAGGCTTTCGGATGTACTGCACCCTGTAACTGTACTTTGTGCAACTCCTACTTGGAGGTTCAGGGGTAGTTATAAGTGGGGCTATAAGTTCTCTGATATGGGTGACAAGTATAGTTACCCTACTAAAAAGTACCCATGAGCCTCCAAGTTGATTCGAGATTTTCGAAGTCGAGAGCTCGGCTGGGTCCGGGTATAGGGCCGTTGGGGTTTTGGGGTTAAGGGTTGAGGGTCGGCAAGGTCTGCTCTTGTGTGGTTGGTCGTTACTTGGGGACACGCCGAAACCAAGCCCTACAACCCTACAGCCCTAAACCCTTACCCTAAACCCTAAACCCTAAACCCTAAACCCTAAACCTTAACCGTTACTTTAAAAAAAAGCCTTAACCGTTACGTCTCAAGCCTTGAACTGCCGCAGGCGCTCTTGCAGAAACTCCTCGGAGAAGGCATGGACAGGGCCACGGGTGTTTGGCAGTCACAGGTTCGTTGGTTCAGGCCCTGCGGAACGGATTTCTTACTCCCTGTCCCTAGAGAGCCCGAACTTCGAAATCTCGGCTCTAAACCCTAAACCCAAAAACCCTAAACCCTAAACCCCTAAACCGTCCTCTCTGACCGTCAACCTCGAGGCCCCAACCCTGAACCCCAAACAGGTCGGTCCTGGAAGGTGGGACCCACCAGAGACTACATCACTCTTATCTGGGATCCGAAGTAGGATCCTAAACCCTAAGACTGAACCTCACCTATAGTCTCCATTGTAGTTCCCTTTTTTTGGTCAGCCAATCTTATGGTTAGGATCCTATAATAGAGTTTCTGGTTGACCGAAACAAAGGAACTACAATGGAGACTATAGGTATATGTTATTGACAGTTCAACCTTACATTAACCCGAAGCTTGAAACCCTACATCAACCCTGAGCACTACATGCACAAACCCACCCGTAAGTTTAGAGAACACCCGGCTACCGAGGCGCGACGTTCCGCGCGGGTCAGCAGGAGGTGGTCGAGAAGCTCATGGCAGGCGAGGAAGTACCTGTCATCTCCATACTTAGGCCTCAAAGGGGCTCCTATACAGGTACTCCAAGGCTACTACTTGGAGGATCATGGGACTTAGTAATTAAGGTTATATTCACCCTCATTGTCGTTATACGGTGACGTTTTTTAAATATATGGGGGCCCGGCCAGCCCCACTGGCCGCAGAGGTAGTATAAAATATTTGTTTAAATCCGTATATTTAAATCCCAGTATGGGCTGGAATGCTGGAGGGTTGAAGGCTGGAAGGGGTTTAGGGCTTGAGTTGAAGGCTGGAAGGCTGGAGACTGCAAGGGCTGGAGGGCTCCAGCCCCCGCCTTGCAGCCTTTCCCTTTCCTCCAGCCTTCCAGCCTTCCTCCAGCCTTCCAGCCCTCCAGCCCTCCAGCCTTCCAGCCTTCCAGCCTTCCAGCCTTCCAGCCCTCCAGCCCTCCAGCCTTCCAGCCTTCCAGCCTTCCAGCCTTCCAGCCCTCCAGCCTTCCAGCCCTTCCAGCCTTCCAGCCTTCCAGCCTTCCAGCCTTCCAGCCTTCCAGCCTTCCAGCCTTCCAGCCTTCCAGCCTTCCAGCCTTCCAGCCTTCCAGCCTTCCAGCCTTCCAGCCTTCCAGCCTTCCAGCCTTCCAGCCCTCCAGCCTTCCAGCCTTCCAGCCTTCCAGCCCTCCAGCCTTCCAGCCTTCCAGCCTTCCAGCCTTCCAGCCTTCCAGCCCTCCAGCCTTCCAGCCTTCCAGCCCTCCAGCCTTCCAGCCTTCCAGCCTTCCAGCCTTCCAGCCTTCCAGCCTTCCAGCCCTCCAGCCTTCCAGCCCTCCAGCCTTCCAGCCTTCCAGCCTTCCAGCCTTCCAGCCTTCCAGCCTTCCAGCCTTCCAGCCTTCCAGCCTTCCAGCCTTCCAGCCTTCCAGCCTTCCAGCCTTCCAGCCTTCCAGCCTTCCAGCCTTCCAGCCTTCCAGCCCTTCCAGCCTTCCAGCCTTCCAGCCTTCCAGCCTTCCAGCCCTCCAGCCTTCCAGCCTTCCAGCCTTCCAGCCTTCCAGCCTTCCAGCCTTCCAGCCTTCCAGCCTTCCAGCCTTCCAGCCTTCCAGCCTTCCAGCCTTCCAGCCTTCCAGCCTTCCAGCCTTCCAGCCTTCCAGCCTTCCAGCCTTCCAGCCCTCCAGCCTTCCAGCCTTCCAGCCTTCCAGCCTTCCAGCCTTCCAGCCTTCCAGCCTTCCAGCCTTCCAGCCCTCCAGCCTTCCAGCCTTCCAGCCTTCCAGCCTTCCAGCCTTCCAGCCTTCCAGCCTTCCAGCCTTCCAGCCCTCCAGCCTTCCAGCCTTCCAGCCTTCCAGCCTTCCAACCCTCCAATGGTTGCGGGCGCGGCATTTACACGGGTTACAGTTCTAAGAGATGTAGAGATTTAGGGATTAGAGGTGCGGGTTTCAGTGTTTAAAGTTTGGGGTCTGGGGTTCAAGCTTCAGAGAGACCTTGTTCAAAAACATGGTTTAGGTTTAGTAGGAATTAGGGTTTTAGGTTTTAGGGGTTTAGGTTGGAATCGCTGGTGGTTTGTTTAATAGAGGGTGCTGTCCTTGCGTTGTCTGGCCTCAAGAATCGTGACATTAATCTCGAGACCTCTTCGGTCCTTCGAACTTTGAAGCCCAGATCGGCACTTTACTGTCGTTCCGACGCTTCGGGACGGTTCCGGACGGTTTGGGGCTGTTTCTGAACAGGGTTCTAACAGTTCCTGAGATTCGTGCCTCTGGACTTGTTCGAAAAGAGCGATTCCTGTTCTAGGCCGAGAGCGGCAGTGGGAAGGAATCAGCTCATGCTCCTGTCCTAGGCCCGGCGCGGCAGTTGGAAGGAGTGGGAGGGGCAGGCGGAGGGCTGGCGCGCGGCTAGGGGCTTGGATCTGAGAGGCTGGCTGGCTAGAAGGTTGAAGAGGTGGGCTGGACAGTTGGAATTGGAAGGCTGGAAGGGTTGGAGGGCTGGGAAATTGGAAGGCTGGAGGTGAGGGCTGGAAGGCTGGAGGGCTGAGGGCTGAAGGCGGAGGGCTGCAAGGCTGTGAATGGAGGGCTGCTGGAAGGCTGGAAGGCTGGAGGGCTGGCTGGAAGGCTGGAAGGCTGGAAGGCTGGAAGGCTGAGGGAGGGCTGGAAGGCTGGAAGGCTGAGGGAGGGCTGGAAGGCTGGAGGGCTGGAGGGCTGGAAGGCTGGAAGGCTGGAAGGCTGGAAGGCTGGAAGGCTGGAGGGCTGGAGGGTTGGAAGGCTGGAAGGCAGGGCTGGAGGGCTGGAAGGCTGGAAGGCTGGAAGGCTGGAAGGCTGGAGGGCTGAAGGGCTGGAAGGCTGTAAAGCTGGAGGGAGGGCTTGAAGGCTGGAAGGCTGGAAGGCTGGAGGGCTGGAGGGCTGAAGGCTGGAAGGCTGGAAGGCTGGAAGGCTGGACTGGAAGGCTGGAAGGCTGGAAGGCTGGAGGGAGGGCTGGAAGGCTGGAAGGCTGGAGGGCCTGGGCTGGAGGCTGGAAGGCTGGAAGGCTGTGGAAGGCTGGAGGGCTGGAGGGTTGGAGGGCTGGAAGGCTGGCTGGAGGGCTGGAGAAATGGAAGGCTGAAGGCTGGCGGAGGGCTGGAAGGCTGGAAGGCTGGAGGGCTGGAAGGCTGGAGGGCTGGAGGGTTGGAAGGCTGGAATGGAACTGGAGGGCTGGAGGGCTTGGAGGGCGCTGGAAGGCTGGAAGGCTGGAAGGCTGGAGGGCTGGAGGGCTGGGCGGCGGACTGGAAGGCTGGAGGGTGGAAGGGGAAGGCTAGAAGGCTGGAGGGCTGGGGGGAAGGCTGGAAGGCTTGAGCACTGGCTCGGTTTGGCTTGAACCTAAAGCTGAAAGGTTTGGCTTCTGCCTGAAGCCTAAACCCTTAAACCCTAAACCCCAAAATCCTAAACCCCAAACCCACCAATCATCTGCCAATCTCCGGATATTTTATTTCGAGGCGGGCCCGGGCGATGTTTCACGGAGGTAGTGTAATATACCTGTTTAACCTGTTTAAATATCCGTATATTTAAAGACAGACGCCGTAAGTAGTTCTAAGTCTCATTACCCTCATAATAACCCTAGTTACTAAGTCCCATGATCTTTGAAGTATAGGTACCATATCCTAGGGTTGCGTCTTGTCTCCATACTTAGGCCAAGGTGGTGCTGAAGCAGATGAGAATGACTTATAGGAGTATCAGTCGGTGTGCTGGGTCCTTCAGCAAGGTAGCAAAGCTCCTCGATGAGTTTGCCCACCTGTGGCACCAAGACCTATCCCAGTACAAGGCACAACTCTGAAACGACAATTCCTTTTTGATCTTGTAGCTAAGTAAGCCTTTAGCTCTAAAGTGCATTGTTTATGGGATCCACTGACTTGAATGTCTTGAAGGGCGGTAGATCCGGCTTGCTTGGAGGTTCAGGGGTAGTTATAAGTGGGGTTACCAGTCTGCTAATATGGGTTATAAGTATAGTTACCCTATTTATAACCCTACTTATAAGTACCCATGAACCTCCAAGTAAACCCTAAACCCTATACCCTATAGATCCCTTTAAAGGGACCCTTACAGGAACCCTCAAGCATCGATCGGATGTCAAGCTTGTAAAGCAGGCCAAGACGTGCTCTACGTTTTCCCCACAGGAGCCGGCAAGTCCCTTTGCGGCCTTGCTGCACCAGGCATTTTTCGGTTTGGCTTTTGGGTGTTTTTTGGCTTTGGGGGTTCGGGGGTCTTGGGTTAGATCTTGAAGCTTAGCAGTTCTGGGCCTAGGATGATTAGGGCGAGACCGTTGACAGAGAGTTTATCAATTTGAGGCTCCGTGGGCACGTTCTTGGAGGTTCATTGGTAGTTATAAGTGGGGGGATAAGTCCTCTAATATGGGTTATAAGTTATAAGTATAGTTACCCTACTTATAATCCTACTTATAAATACCCATGAACCTCCAAGTAGGGTTTGAGCGTTTACGGTTCAGGTGTGGGCTTTGGGCTTTCGACATGCCGCAGCAACAACATGGCGAGGAATGGAAGCAACCCTGGGTTCCAGATCCGATCTATAAGGGTTCCTTAAAGGGATCTATAAGGGTTCCTTAAAAGGATCTATATAAGGGTTCTATAAAGGGTTTAGGGTTTAGAGTTTCCGAAAATTAGGGGTACCTTATTTGGAGGTCCTTATAATATGGATCCTACTATTTAGGGTACTATATTAGGGTCCCCTATTTTCGGAAACTCCCATATCCTCTGCTTACGGAGCAATAAGTAGAAGCGTCCTTACGTGTTTTGATGCAGATTCGGTAGACATGGGCTTCTCTGAGAACCCTTCCAAGAACCGGTACCCTTCGCAAGACGCTTGAATCAGGAAACTATAGTACCGGGCTTTGGAGTACCATAAATTGAACCTTTTTGGTGGACCTGTTACTTAAAGGGAACCATCATGAAATCAAAGTCTATGGTCACTTCGAAGCCCAGTAGAACGTACGCTTTCAAAGCCCAAAGCCCCGATCCGAGTAAACTCAGGAGATCCCGCAGGCCCCATACGACCCTGTACAAACACAGCAAGACTCCCAAAGTCATACAAATACATACCAGCCTAAACCCTGCACCCTAGTTAAACCCCCAAGGGGCTTTTTAAAACCAAAACCCGACAACCCCCAAGCCCTCAGAAGCCATAAACCCCTAATCCCCAACCCAAAACCCTAAACCCCAAAACCCGCAACCCTTAACCGTGGCTCTGGCATTCTCTGGCTCTAGGCTATCAGCTGCCAGCTCTCGCCTCCTCAGAGGGGAAGCCGCGCGGCGAGCAGGAAGATGGTGCAAGGATGTTTTTTGTGGGGGGGGGGGGTGCAGGGTTTAGAGGGTTTAGGATTCAGAGTTTTTGGATTCCGACACAGACTTTTTTCATTTTTTGCATGGTTCAGAGGGTTTAGGGTTCAGGGTTTTTGGATTCCGACACAGACTTTTTTGAGTTGAGGATCCCTTCGAAGCATTCGTCGGGTCCTGTGGGCTTCTATGAAAACTAAGTGGGTTGGCTTCTCGTTTTGGAAGAATTCTGGCGGGTGTTACGTTGTTGCATGGGGCTTTGCAAGGGTCTTCCGGGTTCTTCATGGTTTCAATGCATGCAATGCTCTGTATTCCGTGGGGTCGAGTGCACTTGGGTTCACCGCTCTGAGGAGCGTTCTGGGGTCAGGCAGGGCGTGTTTCATTTTAGGTCATATGGTGATATGGGAGTTTCCGAAAATAGGGGACCCTGATATAGCACCCTAAATAGTAGGATCCTTATTATAAGGACCTCCAAATAAGGTACCCCTAATTTCGGAAACTGCCATCTCTTCAACCAAACTCCTTGGCAGTTCACAAGAACTCAGCCCTACAAGGCTTAAACCCAACGCCCAAATCCTCAACCCAATAAGCTTCCCAAGGAGCTGTTCAAGGTTTCAACTTGCTTGGGTGCTCCTTCAAAAGGACAACTATCAACTGCCCCTCCGCCCCCCTCCCCCTTCCGCCTCCTTTCAATAAAGAAGCAAAAAAACCTAAACCCGAAACCCCTAAACCCTAATGCCCCTAAACCCCTAAACCCCTGAACCCTAAGCTCCTAAGTCCCTAAGCCCGAAGCCCCGAAACCCCTAAACCCCAAGCCCGCAAGTTGACCGGAATAAGCAAAAAGACACCCTGAAGGATTCCTTTACGGGGTCCTTTGAGGATCTATAGAGTTCTATAAGGGCTTAGGGTTCCCAAAAGGAACCTCCGAGGTTCGGCCTCGTCGTCTCGCCTTTGATTGCTCTGATGAAGGACCAGGCCACGGGTCAACTGGGAAGCACACTTGAAGCCTCATGGGACTTAGTAAGTAAGGTTATAAGTAGGTCATAATTAGGATAACCCCACTTCGGGGACTTATGACCCCAGTTATAACCTACTTACTAAGTCCCATGATCCTCTAAGCAGGGATTAAATGACCTGAGGTCTTCAGGGCTTGAGGGGCTTAGGGTTCCTTTAAAGGGTCCTACAAAGGATCCTTTAAAGGGATGTGTAGGGGGTTTGTGGGTCAACTCGGAAGCACGCCCTGGATTTTAGGGCTTTAGGGACATTAGGGGCATTGGGCTTTAGGGTTTTAGGGGTTTAGGACTTTAGGGCTTTAGGGTTTTAGGGCTTTTGGTTTAGGGCTTCAGGGCTTTAGGGTTTTAGGGTTTTAGTGTTTAGGGTTGCCTAGGGTCTGAGTAAGTAACCTTTAAACTTTTTGGGGCTTATATAACCCTACCTATAGTCTCCATTGTAGTTCCTCTTTTTGGTTTGGCCAATTTTAGATCCTAAACGGTAACCCCGCAAAAGGAACTACAATGCAGACTACAGGCGACTACAGGTACTATAGCTCATAAGGTTAACCATGTTTGGGCTAGGGCACTCAGCCTCTAAGTTATGTTTGGAGTTTCGGACACCAAAGGTATGGACGTTCCTTTCTTTGGTTGTTTGAAGGATTCGGGTTTTACTGGACCTTATGCAGTACCGCAAGCATCCTAAAGTACAGGCTCTGCGGTCGCTTTCTCTCCTTCGGGTTACTTCAGGGGGTTATGATCTTCAACCCTAAACCCTAAACTTTAAACCGTGTCAACAGTAGGGAGTAGATTTCTGTTTCGCGTTTGGGGCTTTGAGGGCGCCGGGCTTTAGGATGCAAGACCCGGGAGTTCCTAACCCTAAGGGTCCATGTACCCATATAGAGATACATGGGCCCCCCATGTACCCATATGGGGACTACATTCAGGCCAGTGTATATACTATGTGAGTACATGGACCCTTAGGTTAAGTAGAACTAAAGTTCTGGAAATTGGAAGTTGAAGACTCGGGATTAATTGGTTCGACTGCAGGGGGTCTGGGGTTGTTGAATTCAGGCTGCTTAACCTGGAAGCCTGTTTGCAATGACATGTGGCTTCTTTGTCCTGCTCCAGCCGCTCTCATGTCCTAAGATTAGGGCTTCGAGTTTAGGATTTCAGGGTTAAGGCATCTTCAGATTTTGTGCATCCCCAAGACCACCTGAATCCCTAAACCTCTAAACCTCAAACCCCAAACTGGCTCAAGTTGTTGGGATTTGAAGTAGACTATTGCGGGCTTGGTGATGGAGAGGGGAAGTTTGTTCGTGCTAACCTCAGAATGCGAGAGATCTTCGAGCCCTCGTTGCCCGTGCCTTCTGTGCTAAGTTACTGTTGCAGGTGAACCTTAAGGGGTGTTTCAGGGCTTGGGGTCAAAATTGGATTGAGAGTTACGTAGGTCGACAGCACAAGTTTTATGGGCGTTATTCAATTCACAGAGCTCCGTGCGCGACGCAGTCGACCAAAAGTTAAAAGCTCGAAGAGCTTCTGTATGCCTGACGGATGGAATTATTCATCTAACCTACATCCAGGCCGTATGTAGCCTGATCTCCATGTAGAGTCCCACAGCCTTTTTCTGTAAGTTAGCCAGAAGCCTGAACGTTTGTGTATTTCGTTTCTAATGGTTCCATATATGTAATTCTATTATAACCAAGACCAAACCCGATTCTAGTTGGTAAGGCCCCCATATTCTAGATCTCTAGTATAGATTCCTTTTACTCAGGAACCCTTTCAAATATTAGTAACCAACAACTCCCATACCATAGCCTTCTTGCAGATCTTGTATAGCTCCCTTAAGCGCTAAACCCTAAACCCCTAAACCCAAGCCCTTTAAGGGGAACCCTATTCTAATGGCCCCTGTATTCGGTCTCGAGTTCAAGTTGAGCTTATATGAAGCCGAAGCCGTCGTTTCTGAATCGAGCTCAGGTTAGGTTTAGGGTTCAGGGTCCTTAAAGGGTTCCTTAAAGGGATCTTTAAGGGATCTATGGGGGGCTTAGGGTTTAAAGGATCATGGGACTTAGTAGGTAGAGTTATTCTTAGGGTAACTATACTTATAACCCCAATTAGGGTACTTATAGCTTTACTTACTAAGTCCCATGATCCTCAAAGCAGGGTCCAGCTTCCTTCTTCCATCGTTAAGGATTTAGGGTTTGGGTTACCATGGGTCATGTTCGCAATACGAGGAGCCGTGACCCACTGTATGGGAGTTTCCGAAAATTAGGGGTACCTTATTTTGGGGTCCTTATAACAAGGATCCGACTATTTAGGATACTATATTGGGGCCCCTATTTTATGAAGCTCCCATATACCTCAATGGGCTCCGTGGGTCGATTACAACACGTTTGATCTTTGGGGTGTTGGGTTTTAGGTAACTGCGGAAGATGACATAGTCTGAATGAAATTACTATCTGAGACGCTGGGTTGATGGCTGTTGCTCGTTGATGGCATGTCTGTGACCCTGCATGTGAGTCTTATCAGCGGACGAACGGCTTCCTTGGAAACGCGACTGGATGCTTCTATTTCTGATTTGAAGCAACGTGCGCAGAGTGCCCTCGCGGTCGACAGAGGAAAGCTGCTCAGCCCGCAGGGTATCGTATTGCCCGGAGCCGCGACTGTTAAAGACAGTGGTCTGTGTGAAGGTGATTTGCTGACATTTCATGTTGGGCAGGTTCGAATATCCGCCTGCAGCTCGGCTGCCGCGGCCATCCTGGAGGATGGTTCGGTCATAACTTGGGGTGACGCTGAGTTTGGCGCTGATAGCAGCGCGGTTTGTAGCCAGCTGGAGAACGTAGTAAGCATCCAAGCTGCCAGTGATGCGTTTGCTGCGATCCTTGTGGACGGATCTGTTGTTTCATGGGGCGATGAGGACGGTGGGGGCGACTGCAGTTCCGTGGAGCATCAACTGAAGAACGTGCGGCAGATCCAAGCCTCCCTCAACGCATTTGCTGCAATTCTGGATGACGGCTCTGTGGTGACTTGGGGCAACCCTGAATTTGGCGGTGACAGTCGTCATGTGCAGGATCAGCTGCAGAATGTATCCAAAGTGCAGGCAAACGAGAGAGCCTTCGCCGCAATCGTGGGCGATGGTTCTGTGGTGACCTGGGGGGATGTTGACTATGGAGGCAGCACCGAAGGTTCTGTGAAGATTCAGTTGCATAGTGTTCAAGACATCCAGGCTTCTGAGAGCGCTTTTGCTGCGATTCTCGACGATGGAACGGTGGCGACATGGGGTGATCTATGGCACGGAGGCGATTGCAGTTTCGTTCAGGAGCAGCTGCACAGAGTGCAGCGAATTCAGGCTTGTGGTTCTGCCTTTGCTGCCATTCTGGATGACGGATCCGTCGTCACTTGGGGCGACGAGGAGAATGGAGCAGATAGTAGCACTGTTCAACGCCTGTTGCAGGACGTGCAAGAGATCCAGGCTTCGCATACAGCCTTTGCTGCGATCCTCGGCGACAGGTCAGTTGTGACATGGGGTTCCCGTGATCGTGGCGGTGACTGCTCCGCCGTCCAAGATCAGCTTCATGACGTGCAGTGCATTCAAACCACGGGCCATGCCTTTGCTGCTCTTCGTGTCGATGCGTCTGTGGTAACGTGGGGCAATGCTGAAAAAGGTGGCGACAGCAGTGCTGCACAAGATCAACTCACCAACGTGCAGCACATCCAAGCTTCAGAAGGGGCTTTTGCTGCGACCCTGGATGATGGATCCGTGGTTGCTTGGGGCCATTCAGATTACGGAGGCGACGACTCAGAGCTCTACGACTTGCAGGACGTGGAGCAACTCCAAGCGTGCGAACGAGGATTCGCTGCTATCCGGGGCGACGGATGTATTGTCACTTGGGGCGACCCCGCTTGCGGCAGACCGGAATAAACAGTTCATATCAGGGATAATTTAGGCTCCATAAGAAGTGCGTTACTATTTTGGGGGGGTTCCTTAGCATAATTATTATGGTATAATATACCCCAAAACCCTATTCCAATCATTAAGGCCCCTATACTATAGCGCCCTTAGAGTATCCCTTACAGATCCCCTGTTGAGGAACCCCTATTTTCATTAAAAGCCCCTAAATTATAGGGACCAACATGAGGGATTGAGTTGGACCTGGCCTGAGTGTCCCATGACACTCAGATTCGTACCACGGCTATTTCAACTTACCTTTATCATGAGAACCATACTTTTTTTGGCATATTTTTCATGACGGTATTTAGTCTATAGTAGCAGTCCCAGACCCCCCATCTATGCTCTATTAGACCCTAATTGCCCTTACCATACCCCTATTTGAGGGTACCAGGTGGGTAATAGCCCAAAGTAGGTACTATCTATAGACTTTAGACCCCGAAGAAGGTACTAATTTGTATACTTGGAGTCTTAGGGTAGTGGCACGGTTGATGATATAAATCCTGCATTACCTTAAGGACCCTAAACTGTGGGAATTATGGTACACTCCCTATTATGGGTAAGGCAGGATAATTTATCATCAACCGCAGTGATGGTAACATACTTTATTGGCATTTGTTATCATTACGGTACCCTGAACCCTAAACCCTAGACCCTAAACCCTTAGTAGCACTGATGGCAAAAGTGGCGCAGGTGCGCCACCTTTCGGCCCGCGGACTCACAGCAGCGGCGCTGCACTCGGAGCTGCCGGCGGCGGAGAAGGAGGCACCTAGGGTTCTATAGGGGTCCCTAAACGGGATCCTTAAAAAGGTTCTATATAACGGCTACTATATACAAGGATACTAAATTATAGGGCTTCGAAAAGGGTTCTTTTCAGGAGAGGCGGTTTAGGGTTTAAGGTTTAGGGTTTAGGGAGTTTAGGGTTTAGGGTGTAGGGGTTCCATTAACGAGCCTTTCGGAGCTTTCTGTGAAGTACTGTTAGTAGGGCTTAGAGGGCTGGAGGGCTGGAGGGGTTGAAATGGTTGATACCTAGGGCTTTTGGGGTTTGCGGTTCCTTTAATCCCAGGTTTGCAGGCTTTCTAAACCCTGAACCCTAATTTAATCCCTAAACCCTAATTTCTGAGGATTCAGTATTGAAGCTTTGCAGAGGGTTTTGGGGTTTACCGAGGTCTCCGCCAGGACGAGCACAACTGCCGGCATATCTTCTTGAGCGCATAGCAGTGGGTTTAGGGTTTAGGGGTTTAGGGTTTAGGGTTTAGGGTTTAGGTTTTAGGATCGTATCACTCTTTGTGCTATGACTGTTGAATTTGGGATCGTTTTGCAGACTAACGAAGCCCTGAACCCCCATATCGCAAATCCTGAACACTGGAAGCCCTGGAGAAACCCACAAAGACCGATAATGACCCTGCACGTTTATGAAACCCCGATGAAGAGGCACATAATGGCACAAACGACTCTAAAATTTTCAACAGCACCCAAACCCAACACCCTAAGCCCTAATCTCCCCCCTAAAAGCTCCCTAAACTCCCTAAACCCCCTAAACCCCCTAAACTCCCTAGACACCCCCAAACCACCCGAAACCCCCTAAAACCCCCTAAAACCCCCTAAAACCCCCTAAACCCCCCTAAACCCTAAAAGCAAACAACGTCCGCACCGCCGAAGCGGCTCAGGCGATCCTTAGCGCCCTGGCGCCAGATCCGAAGAAGGCGAAGGGAAAAGGACGGCTTTGGGGTTTAGGGACCCTAAAGAACCTACCTTTTTAGGGCTCCTTGTTATGATTTTAGTACATAATGTGGCGGTCGGTTTAGTAGTAGGGTACCCCCCCCCCGACCAAAAAGTTGCGGTCGGTTTAGTATGGAACCGGTAGCCCCGGACAGGGGTCAGGGGTCTGAGTGGGGCTCAGGGTCTGGGTGGCTTTGATTATTTAAGTAAATTAGAAGGGGGTTGCGGGGTCGCAGCTAGGGTCTGGGTGGCTTTGATTAATTAATTAAGACAATTAATTAAACAATTAGAGGGAATCGGGAGTCTCGGGGTTTGGGCGCCTAAGTAGAAGGGTTTGGGGGGTTTTGTAGGGTTTGGTGCTTAATTAATTAATTAAGTAACTCGGGCTTAAGAGGGTTCTGGCTTAAGTATGCCTAGTTTAGGTCTTCAGGGCCAGGGTTTTAGGGTTTGGGTGGGGGCTTCAGGTGTTAGGCTTAAGTATGCCTAGTTGAGGTCTTCAGGGCCAGGGTTTTAGGGTTTGGGTGGGGGCTTCAAGTTTTAGGCTTAAGCATGCCTAGTTGAGGTCTTCAGGGCCAGGGTTTTAGGGTTTGGGTGGGGGCTTCAGGTCGTGGCTGCCTTAAGATTGACCATCAGCAAACAGCACAGCCCCGCCCCCCAAAAATCCCCCCAGCCAAAAAAAAACGCATTAATTAGACCGCCCAAATTTTTGGTACCGGTCGGAATTAGCCCCCGAGCCGACGCATTAAAGGAGCCCATATTCCTAAACCGACCGGCACATTAATAAGTTCTTAAAAAGGTAGGTTATTCCGGGTTTAGGGTTTTGGGGGAGTTCCTTTCAGGGATTCTATAGGGCTCCTTTAGTCATAGGAGGCCACAAGTTTTAGCCTACCTAGAGGATCATGGGACTTAGTAAGTAGGTTATAACTGGGGTTATAAGTCCCCTAAGTGGGGTTATCCTAATTATAACCTACTTATAACCTTACTTACTAAGTCCCATGAGCCTTCAAGTATGGGGGTTTAGTAGGGATTTGGGTTCCCATAATAGGAATCACATCAAGGAATCCCTACTCCAAGAATCTTAAACCCCCGTTTTGGCCTCCCATCAGGGTTTAGGGTTTTCGGGGAGTTCCCCTAAGGGAATTAATTGTTAGGGGCTCCTTTAGGGGATCCTTCAAGGGATTTAGGGTTTTAGGTTTAGGGTTTTGGGGGAGTTCCTTTAAGGGATTCTTGAGGGGCTCCTTTAGGGGATCCTTTAATTGATTTAGGGATAGGGGCCCTTTAGGACCTGGAGGCTCCATATATATATATATATATATATATATATATATATATATTACCATTATGGAATTAGGTCCCAAGAGACCATTCTTGTCATGGGTTTAGGGACCTGATTCAGTAGATTTCGTGGTAGTGTATACAGAAACTTGGGGGAGTTCCTTACCTTGCAGGGATGCGTAGTCTTTGAACGGGCTTGGGAGTTTGGGGGCTTAGAGTTTCATGATTGGGGTTTCAGGGAGCTTGTTAAAGTTTATATAAGGGTCATGGCATCGTTGTTTTGATTAAAATAAGGGTTTAGGATTTGTGGTTGAATCAGGGGCTTCCTGGCGATAAAAGGGTTGCATAAGGGCTCCAAAAACTTACCTTTGGTTAGTAGGGAATGGAAGAATGGTAGTAATAGTAGTCATAATTGTTCCCCCTTCCTCCATTCCATATTAACCAATCGTAAGAAAAAAGGTGTAGAGCGCACAGATAGAGGGGCTTAGGGTTCTTCGGCCGGAAATCCCAAACCCTAAACCCTACGCCCTCATAGACACCTCTATTATTGATCCCTCAAAAGAGCCCTTGAAGGAGGTTCTTTAAGGGAACCCCAAACCCTTGTAGAACCCTATTAGATCCCTTGAAGGAGCCTTCAAAGGAATACTTTAGGGAACCTCAAAGCAGGAGCCAAGAGCCTCACGACCTCCGTGCCAAAGCTGTTGTACCTTTCACCCGAGTGTCTGAGCTGCAGATAGGGGCCCGGCACTTCCATTTTGGTACGGTTTAAGGATTTTCGGGTTTAGGGTGTAGGGATTTTAGGGATTTCAGGGTTTAGGGTTTAGAGAATTTAGGGTTTCGGGTTTCCGGTTTAGGTTTTAGGGCTTGGGGTTAAGAGTTTTAAAGTCAGCGATCAAGTGCAGTGTTGATGGAGCTTGGGAGCCAGTAGGGCTTAAGGGCTTAGGGTTTAAGGGTTTAGGGCTTTAAGGGTTTAGGGCTTTTAGGGTTTAGGGGTTTTATTAAAGGGTTTTAAGGATTAAGGGCTTTACGGGTTTAGGGTTTTAAGGGCTCAGGGCTTTTGGGGCCTCAAGGGTTTAGAGTTTGGAAGCTATCGCGGGAGCTCTCTGTGAGTTCTACATGTTCGAGCGTGAAGTACTGTAGGTTCTTCGGGTCGTAACCGCTGACAACTCGAAAGCCCTTGAATAGAACCCGCGAAACTTTCTCGAACGTCGTGTCGCAAATCCGATGCACAGGACAAAAGGCCAGGCCCACCACATAGAAGCTGAAACAGCACCAAGCGAAGCTATGTATTTGTCTGGCGGTCGTCTATCTGTTCAAAGTATCTATCTGTCTATTTAGCCATCTACTTAGATCAATCTATCTTAACCCACCGAAACCTACCTTTTTTGTAGGGTCCCTATAAATTCCATATTAGGGTTTATAATAAGAACCCACAAAAAGTAGGGTTTGGCATTTTAAGGTATCCATGTGTTCCCGACGACTCTGGCAGAAGCCAAGGCTGGCCACTTCCCCGAGCTTTGCCGCTGTCCTCAAGCGCTGCGCGGACCGGATCGCCATCGTCGCTATCGACGAAGCGAAGCCCGGCTTTCCCCAGTTTGGGGCATATCCGTTGTGGATTTAGGAGTTTAGGGTTTTGGGGTTCAGGGTTTAGGGTTTAGGTTTTAGGGGTTTAGGGTTTAGGTTTTAGGGGTTTAGGTTTTAGGGGTTTAGGGTTTAGGGTCTAGAGTTTAGGGTTTTGGGGTTCAGGATTTAGGGGTCCAGGCTGGCCATGCCGGCCGTGGGGGTGCCATGATGCGGGCCCTCCTTTGTCCTCTACTCACGGAGATGGGAGTTTCCCAAAATAAGGGACCCTAATATACCTTAACCTACCAAAACCTACTTTTTTGTAGGGTCCGTATAAGTGCCGTATTAGGGTTTATAACAAGAACCTGCAAAAAAGTAGGGTTTGGTAGTTTAAGGTAGTACTAAGTACCCTA